GATATATTCAGATATTCCATCCCAAAGCAACAGAATACACATTCTTCTCGAGTGCACATAGTACATTCTTCAGAAGAGATCACATCCTAGGTCACAAATCAGATCTCAACCAGTACCAAAATACTGGGATCAATCTCTGCATATTTTTGACCACAATGCTTTGAAACTGGAACTAAATCACAAGAGGAAAGTTAAAAAGAACTCAAATACATGAAGGTTAAAGAGTATCCTACTAAAGACTGAATGAGTCAACCAGGAAATTAGAGAACAATTAAAGAATTCATGGAAGCAAATGAAAATGACAACACAATTGTTCAAAACCTTTGGGATGCAGCAAAGGCAGTCCTAAGAGGGAAGGACATAGCAATAAAAGCCTTTCTCAAGAAACAAGAAAGGCCTCAAATACACAACCTAACCCTACACCTAAAGGAGCTGGAGGAAGAAGAGCAAATAAAGCCTAAATCCAGCAGGAGAAGAGAAATAATAAAGGTCAGAGCAGAAATCAATGAAATAGAACCAAAAGAACAGTAGAATAGATTAATAAAACCAGGAGCTGATTCTTCGAAAGAATTAATAAGACTGATAAATCCCTGGCCAGACTTATCAAAAAGAAAAGAGAAAGGACCCAAATAGATAAAATCACAATTAAAAGAGGAGAGACCAAAACTAACAACCAAGAAATACAAACAATTATAAGAACATATTATGAGCAGCTATATGCCAACAAATTAAACAATCTGGAAGAAATGGATGCATTTCCAGAATGCATGAACTACCAAAACTGAATCGCGAAGAAACAGACACCTGAACAGACCCAAACTGCCAAAGAAATGGAAACAGTAATCAAAAACCTCCCAACAAACAAGAGTCCAGTGCCAGATGGCTTCCCAGGAGAATTCTACCAGAACATTTAAAGAAGAATTAATACCTATTCTTCTGAAGCTGTTTCAAAAAATAGGAATGGAAGAAAAACTTCCAAACTCATTTTATGAGGCCAGCATTACCTTGATCCCAAAACCAGACAAAGACCCTACTATAAAGGAGAATTACAGACCAATATCCTTGATGAACACAGATGCAAAAAATCTCACCAAGATATTAGCCAACAGGATCCAACAGTACACCACAACAAAGTGGGACTTATTCCTGGGCTGCAAGGGTGGCTCAAATCAATGTGATACACTACATTAATCAAAGAAAGGACAAGAACCATATCATCCTCTCAAGAGATGCAGAAAAAGCATCTGACAAATACAGCATCCTTTCTTAATCAAAAGTCTTCAAAGTGTAGTGATAAAGGGAACATACCTCAATATCATAAAAGCCATATATGAAAAGCCCACAGCAAATTATCATTCCCAATGGGGAAAAACTGAGAGCTTTTCTTCTAAGATCAGGAACACAGCAAGGATGTCCACTATCACCACTGTTGTTAGACATAGTATTAGACGTCCTAGTCTCAACAATGAGACAATTAAAAAAATAAAAGGAATCTGAATTGGTGAAGAAGTCAAATTCTCACTTTTGCAAATGACATGACACTCTATGTGGAGAATACAAAAGACTCAACTCCAAAATTGCTAGAACTCATACAGGAATTCAACAAAGTAGCAGGATATAAAATTGATGCACAGAAATCAGTTGCATTTCTATACACTAACAATGAAACAGAAGAAAAAAAAATAAGGAGTCGATTCCATTTATAATTGCACCAACAACCATACGATACCTAGGAATAATGCTAACCAAGAGGGAAAGGAACTGTATTCAAAAAAGTACAGAACACTTATGAAAGAAATTGAGGAAGACACAAAGAAATGGAAAAACGTTCCATACTCATGGATTGGAAAAATAGTTAAAATGTCTATGCTACCTAGAGCAATATATACATTCAATGTAATCCCTATCAACATACATTAACTTTTTCCAAGTGCTGGAATAAACAATCCTAAAATTAGTATGGAGCCAGAAAAAGACCATGAATAGCCAAAGGAATGTTGAGAGAACCAAAGCATCACAATTCCGGACTTCAAGTTCTATTACAAAGCTGTAATCATCAAGACAGTATGATACTGGCACAAAAATGACACCTAGATCAATGGAACAGAATAGAGAACCCAAGTCTATGGTCAATAATCTTTGACAAGCAGGAAAGAATACCAATGGAAAAAGGAGTCTCTTCAACAAATGGTGTTGGGAAAATTGGACAGCCACATGCAGAATTATGACACTGGACGATTTCCTTTCACCAGACACAAAAATAGACTCAAAATGGATGAAAGAGCTAAACTTGAGATAGGAATCCATCAAAATCCTTGAGAACACCAGCAGCAACCTCTTCAACCTCGGCCCCAGCAACTTCTTGCTAGACACGTCTCCAAAAGCAAGGGAAGCAAGAGTAAAAATGAACTATTGAGACTTCATCAAGATAGAAAACTTTTGCACAGCAAAGGAAACGGTCAACAAAAGCAAAAGACAAACGACAGAATGGGAGAAGATATTTGCAAATGACATATCTGATAAATGGCTAGTATTCAATATCTAAAAAGAACTTATCAAATTCAACCACCAATAAACCAAATAATCCAATCAAGAAATGGGCAAAAGACACGAACAGACATTTCTCCAAAGAGAACATACAAATGGCCAATAGACATATGAAAAAATGCTCCATATCACCTGGCACCAGGGAAATACAACTAAAACCACAATGAGATACCACCTCATACCAGTGAGAATGGCTAAAATTAAGAAGTGTGGAAATGACAGATGTTGGCGAGGATGAGTAGAAAGGGGAACCCTCCTACACTGCTGGTAGGAATGCAAGCTGGTGCAACCACTCTAAAAAAGAGTATAGAGAGTCCTCAAAAAGTTGAAAATAGAACTACCGTAAGACCCAGCAATTGCACTACTGGGTATTTACCACAAAGGTACAAATGTAGTAATCCAAAGGGGCACCTGCACCCAAATGTTTATAGCAGCAATGTCTACAATAGCCAAACTATGGAAAGAGCCCAGATGTCTATCGACAGATGAATGGATAAAGAAGATGTGGTATCTATATACAATGGAATACTAGTCACCCATCAAAAAAAATGAAATCTTGCCATTTGTAAGACATGGATGGATCTGGAGAGTAGTATGCTGAGCAAAAAAGTCAATCAGAGAAAGACAATTATCATATGATCTCACTCATACGTGCAAATTAAGAAACAAAACAGAGGAGCCTAGTGGAAGGGAGGGAAAAATAAAACAAGACGGGATCAGAGAGGGAGACAAACCGTTAAGAGACTTAATCATAGGAAACAAATTGAGGGCTGCTGGAGGAAAGGTGGTGGGGGACGGGGTAACTGGGAGATGCACATTAAGGAGGACATGTGATATAATGAGCACTGGGTATTATATAAGACTGATGAATCACTGAACTCTACCTCTGAAGTTAATTATATACTACATGTTAATTTAGTTTAAATTTAAATTTTTTAATTAAAAAATGAGGGAAAATAAATAAAATGTAATTAACCTAATCAAAAAACCCCACTAATTTGAAGGGCTACCTGTACCCCTATGTTTACTGCTCATTATTTAGAATAGCCTAACTATGGAAGCAGTCCAAGGGAGTCTCCATCTTCCTCCCTCTCTGCCTGCTGCTTCTCCTGCTTGTGCACATGCTCTACCTCCCTGACAAAAAAATAAATTAAAAAATCTTTAAAAAAAAAAAAAAAAGGGGGCAAGAAGAAAAGAAAGAAAATGGTGTGCCAAAGGGTAACTATCAAAAAGGGACAGATAAGCATGTCACAGGAGAAGTAAAAATAAATTCCAGGTGAACTAATGATTAAGTATAAAGTGAAACCTCACATAATATCTGATCTTGAGAAAGAAGCAACTAAGGAAAAAATATATAGCAAAGTTGAATACTAATAGATATGAATAAAAATTATTCAACTTCCATCAAACCAAAAATCCAAAGATGTATATAAATAAAACACTACCTGGTTTTTAATATTCTAAAATCCAGCCCAGCAAGGCCAAGACTAGAACTAGAACTCTCAATCACTAGTAATGGTATTATAACATGTCACTGCCTTTTCAAGAGGATAATTTTGCAATCAGCATTAAAAGCCTTAAAAATGCTCATAACTTTGGACTTCAGCATTTCACCTCTAAAAACCTAGTCTACTAAAACAAAGATCTGTATGAATTTAGTCAATGACTCCTTATTTACAATGCCATAATCTGAAAATATTTTAAAAATTTGGCAGGAAAATTATCCTGAATTTATAATTTTTATTTATCCCACTCAGCTCAACAGTCTGGCCTTCAAAGCTGTAATTAATGTGGTCCCTTCCTCTTTGTCTGAGTTTATTTCCCAAAATAGCCTTCTATAGGTGCTATAAACCTGCTGCACAAAATCACAAAGTCTGGCTATTCTCCAAACGTGGTCTAAAATGCCCCCACCATAGCACCTTTACAGATGCTGTCCCACTTCCTGAAATATAGTTCTCTTCACAAATCTATGTTAAGGCCTATCACGGGCCTCTTCATGAAAAAGGAAAACCTGCATCCCCTTTTAATAAAGCTTCATAAATAATTCCCTCGATCAGAACTAATTTGTCACCCTCCTAGGATTCCTGCACAATTTGTACTGTTGAAATATACTTAAGGTAGTCAGAGGGTTAGCTGTGCATCTCTTTTCTCACTTGGCAGAACTTTCAGAGAGCAGAGGCTAAATATTTCATTGCTCCTCCAATTTCTTAACAAACTGCTTTATACTCCATACCCTAATGATAATAAACTGAGGATGAACATAATCATATCAGGTTTCATATTACACAAGTTTTTAAAAATTCTACCAACAGAAGTGCTTACAAGTGCTGATAGGGAGGAGGTAAAGGAGAAGATAGAAACAAAAGGTTGGCATAGTAACTATGAAACAAAGAAGCAGAAAGACGTGGAGCAGCAAGGTAAGGACTAAGAAAACACAAGTCACTTTACAGTACCGGAAGAATCCTCCAAGCTCGTCAGTGATGTAAGTTTCTCATTTTCTAATAAACTAGTGTGGCTTAAGTCACTGGGCAGATTCTTCTCTTCAAAATGTTTCCCAGCATGAGGAACAACAATCTGTAAGAAATAAAATGCCAAGTAACATAAGCAAACTTCACTACTTTGAGGACCACAGTACAAGGTTGCAAAAAAGACCACCAAATGTGCTCAGTATTTGTAATTCACAATTTAGGCAATGAAGGTCTAGCTGTTTTATGTGTATCAATAACTTTCTTCCTGCCCCCATTCCTCTCTTCTCCCCTGACCCACCCAGTGAGACACTGTTAAAATTTAACATCTCAAATTGTATGTACAAGCTCAGAAGACCTAGTAATATAGTTAGGACACTAATACCCAAATGAATTTGAATACAAGGCTTGTGGTAGGAAGTGAAGATAATAGCCAAGTTGGACTATGTGGCCTATACTGAAATCACTGATTGTTCTACTTCTCAACTCAGGGACAACATAATCCTAAAGGCACACAGCAGGTTGTTAAGGGCATTCAAGGCCAACAAAAGATAACATGGCCTTCAACTTTATTTCACAATCTTATTAAATTTATCTTTAAAATTAGATAGCAAAATACACAATTTTTAAGATAAAAGCATGGGCTCGCTATATAATTGCATACTTGCAGAAAACAGTGAATTATGCTCATAAAGATCAAAGATGTGGCAATAAAAAAACAACGAACAAACAAACAAACAAACAAACAAAAAACCAGAATTAGACTCAAACACATCTGAGAACAAAGTGGTGGTTCCTGGAGGGGAGAGGGTGGAACAATGGGTAAAACAGATGAATACATAAAATCCCAGTTATAAAATAGATAAGTCATAGGGATGAAAAGTACTACATAGAGAATATAGTCAATAATATTATAGTAATTTGCATGGTGACAGAGAGTAACCACACTTCTGGTGGAGAGCATTTATGATGTATAGAGTTGCTGAACTGCTTTGTTGTATACTAACAACTATACTTTGTTGAAACTAAGAGAACATTATATATGAACTATACTTTAATTAAGAATAAGAAAAAGGGGCATCTGGGTGGCTCAGTCCATTAAGTGTCTGCTTTCAGCTCAGGTCACGGTCCCAGGGTCCTGGGATTATACCCCACATCGGGCTTCCTGCTTGGAACATTCCTTTGAGGAGCCATGTGGAACTGGTGGGGCTGACAGCTGTATATACACACACACACATATATATATGCACACACATACACACACATATATACACACACATATATGTACACTGATATATATGTATACACACACACACACACTCACAAAGAAGTGGACCTGAGTGCAGGCTCGACAAACAGAGTATTTTACTCCAACGTACCCCTTGACAGTGATTTACATAGGGGAGAACTTATGACCCAAGTGAGCTCATTAGAGTTGTCTTTTTTTCTTTCCCCTCAAAGAAAGTTCATGGTCTTTTTTTTTTTTTTTTAAAGATTTTATTTATTTATTTGTCAGAGAGATAGCGAGAGCAGGAACACAAGCAGGGGGAGTGGGAGAAGGAGAAGCAGCCTTCCTGCCAAGCAGGGACCCTGAGGCAGGGCTCAATCCCCCGACCCCGGAATCATGACCTGAGCTGAAGGTAGACGCTTAACGACTGAGCCACCCAGGCACCCCAGCATGGTCATTTTTCCTTATCACAAATGTTAAGAATGTAGGCTTGCTACAAAGGAAGACAGCTTCCTGATCATTCAAGTAATCACTGAGTGCCAACTATGTGCCAGGCACTCAGGATACAATAAACAAAACAAAGATGGAAGCATGGGTGGGTCAGTAAGCTAAACACCCACCTTCAGCTCAGGTTATGAACCCAGGGTCATGGGATCGAGTCCTGCGTGGGGCTCCCTGCAGGGAGCCTGCTTCTCCCTCTGCCTGCCACACACCCTGCTATTGCTCTCTCTGGAAAATAAATAAAACCTTTTAAAAAAATAAAATAAATGAAACAAAGTGAAACCTTTACCCTCCCAGAGCCATCTTTCAAGAGGGAGCCAGCATGGAGTGAAACAGAGCAAAAGTGGAAAAGTCCTAATGACAAGGAAGCCCTGGACCAGGACTACGCTCACATGCCGATTACTTGAGGCAGTAACGTGGATCTCTGCTATTTAAAGTACAAGACTTCTAACTGAAATTACTACTGTTTAATACTTGCACATGTGAAATGGAAACTTTCACTCTCCCAGTTACACTCCAGAAATTGGTAACATATAAAAGATTACCTTGTTATCCTTATTATTCATCCATGGTTGTAAACAAAAATCAACAGGTGAGTCTGTTTTACAAAACAAAAATAATTGAGACCAAATTATTTAATCAATAAAAACGCAATAACCCCTAAAAGTAGCAAATTAATGAACTAAACATTTTTTCCCTTTAGTAGAATAGAGCACTTTTATATCATGGTACAAGAAGTTATCACTGGTCAGTTTAATTAAAAAACTATCAGGGTGGGAAGTATGAAAAATTATACATATGCCAAAAAAACGCTCACTATGAATCTAATCAAGGCTTTAAAGCTAACTTTTGCTTTACAGAGGATACAGGGAAGAGAGAAACAAGAAAAATGACAGCATGACTAAACAGACAGACAAATCCAAATCATGGGACAATCTACAGGGTGACAGACTGAGCTTTTTTCAACAGGAACTGACTTAGGACATAGAACAAATAATATACCGTAACATATGGTAACCTTCTTTGGGCTCCAATTCAAGCAAACCAACCTGGATAATTAGTAAAATGAATATGGACTAGAGTACTATATGATAATAAAAGAACTGTTAAGTCTGTTAGTGGTGTTAATAGCACTGTGCTTATGTAAAAAAACATCTGTATTTTTACGGATGCACACTAAAATATATAGGAATAAAATGATACTTGAATTTTAAAATATCAGAAAAAAGTAACACGAAAACAGAAGAGATAAAGCAAGTATGACTAAATCTTATACTAACTGGGACTGTGATATAAGTATATGGGTTTTTTTAATGGACATAAAATTTGCATACCATGAAATCACCAGTCTCCTAAAGCATTCAATTCCCTGGTTTTTAGTAAATTCTCAAGACTGTACAACCATAAGCACTCTTTAATGACACAATATTTTCATCACTCCAGAAAGAAACACTGTATCTACTAGCAGTCATTCCCCATTCTCCCCTTTCCCTGGCCCTGGCCACCACACATCTACTGTCTCTATGGATTTGCCGATCCGATCCGATGTCTACAGATATCTATGGATGAAAAGATCCTACAACATGTGGCCTTTGTATCTGTCTTCCTTCACTTAGCCTAATGTATTCAAAGTTCATCCATATTATAGTACATATCAATACTTCACTCCATTTTAAGGCTCAGTAATATTCCACTGTATGAAGTTTTTGCATTGTTTCCACTCTTTCACTACTGTGATTAATGCTGCTATGAACATTCATGTACAAGTTTTTGTGTGGACATATGTTTTCATTTCTCTTGCGTATATACCTAGGACTGGAACTACTGGCTCAAACAGTAGTGTGATGTTTTGAAGAACTGTCAAACTAGTTTCACAGCAACTGCATCATTTTAACATACCCACCAGCAATGAATGAGAGTTTTAATTTCTCCATATCCTCACCACACTTGCTATTTTCCAATTTTTTGATTATAGCCTAAACCCAGCAGGAGTTAATAAGCCTAAACCCAGCAGGAGAAGATAAATAATAAAGAGCAGAAATCAATGAAACAGAAACCAAAAGAACAGTAGAAGAGATCAACGGGGACACCTGGGTGGCTCAGTCGGTTAAGCGTCTGCCATTGGCTCAGGTCATGACCCTAAAGTTGTGGGATCGAGTCCCACAACAGGCTCCTTGCTCAGCAAGGAGCCTGCCTTTCCCTCTGCCCCTCCCCTGCTGTGCTCCCTCTCTGTCTCTCTCTCTCCAGAAAATAAATAAAATCTTAAAAAAAAAAAAAAAAAGAAGATGAGATCAACGAAACTAGGAGCTGGTTCTTTGAAAGAATTAATAAGCATGTTAAAACCACTGGCCAAACTTATCAAAAAGAAAAGAGAAAGAACCCAAATAAATAAAATCGCAAATGAAAGCAGAGAAATCACCACCAACACCCAAGAAATAAAAACAATTATAAGAACATATTACGAGCAACTAAATGCCAACAAATTAGGCAATCTGGAAGAAATGGATGCATTCCTAGAAAAGAATAAACCACCAAAACTGAACCACGAAGAAACAGAAAACCTGAACAGATCCATAAATGGCAAGGAAATGGAAACAGTAATCAAAAACGCCCCAACAAACAAGAACCCAGGGCCAGATGGCTTCCCAGGAGAATTCTACCAGAACATTTAAAGAAGAATTAATACCTATTCTTCTGAAGCTGTTTCAAAAAATAGGAATGGAAGGAAAATTTCCAAATGCATTTTATGAATCCAGCATTACCTTGACCCCAAAACCAGACAAAGACCCTACTAAAAAGGGGAATTACAGACCAATATCCCTGATGAACACGGATGCAAAAATTCTCACCAAGATATTAGCCAACAGGATCCAACAGTACACTGAAAGGATTATTCACCATGACAAAGTGGGATTCATTCCTGGGTTGCAAGGTGGCTCAACATCTGCAAACCAACCACTGTGATACGATACACTAATCAAAGAAAGTACAAGAATCGTATCATCCTTTCAGATGCAGAAAAAAGTATTTGACAAAGTACAGCATTCTTTCTTGATTAAAACTCTTCACAGTGTAGGGATAGAGGGAACATACCTCAATATCATAAAAGCCATATACGAAAAGCCCACAGCGAATATAATTCTCAATGGGGAAAAACTGAGAGCTTTTCCCCTAAGATCAGGAACACGACAGGGATGTCCACTATCACCACTGCTATTCAACATAGTACCAGAAGTCCTATCCTCAGCAATCAGACAACAAAAAGAAGTAAAAGGCATCCAGATAGGCAAAGTAGTCAAACTCTCACTCTTTGCAGATGATATGACACTACAGGTGGAAAACCCAAAACATTCTAACCCAAAATTGCCAGAACTCATACAGGAATTCAGCAAAGTGGCAGGATATAAAACCAATGCACAGAAATCAGTTGCATTTCTATACACCAAAAATGAGACAGAAGAAAGAGAAATTAAGGAGTCGATCCCATTTACAACTGTACCCAAAACTATAAGATACCTAGGAGTAAATCTTATCAAAGAGGCAAAGAATCTGTACTCAGAAAACTATAGAATACTCATGAAAGAAACTGAGGAAGACACAAAGAAATGGAAAAACATTCCATGCTCATGGATCAAAGGAACAAATATTGTAAAAACGTCTATGCTACCTAGAGCAATCTACAGAGTTAATGAAATCCCTATCAACATACCATCAACTTTTTTCAAGAACTGGAACAATCAATCATAAAATTTGTATGGAACCAGAAAACCCCAGACAGCCAGAGGAATGCTGAAAAAGAAAACCAAAGCTGGTGACATAATAGTTCCAGACTTCAAGCTCTATTACAAAGCTGTGATCCATCAAGACAGCACAGTGTTGGCTAAAAAACAGACACAGATCAATGCAACAGAATAGAGAACTCAGAAATGGACCCTAAACTCTATGGTCAAGTAATCTTTAGACAAAGCAGGAAAGAATACCCAATAAAAAAAGACAGTCTCTTCAACAAATGGTATTGGGAAAATTGGACAGCCACATGCAGAAGAATGAAACTGGACCATCTCCTCTCACCATACACAAAAATAGACTCAAAATGGCTCAAAGTCCTAAATGTGAGACAGGAATCCATCAAAATCCTTCAGGAGAACACAGGCAGCAACCTCTTCGACCTTAGCTGCGGGAACTTCTTAGACATATAGCCAAAGGCAAGGGAAACAAGGGTAAAAATGAACTATTGGGACTTCATCAAGATAAAAAGCTTTTGTACAGCAAAGGAGATAGTCAACAAAACCAAAAGACAACTTACAGAATGGTAGAAGATATAAGATAAAGGGCTAGTATCCAAAATCCATAAGGAACTTAACAAACTCAACACCAAGGAACAAAAAAATTCCAATCAAGAAATGTGCAGAAGTCAGGATGCCTAGATGGCTCAGTCAGTTAAGCATCTACCTTCAGCTCAGGTCATGATCCCAGGGTCCTGGGATCAAGCCCTGCATTGGGCTCCTTGCTCGACAGGGAGTCTGCCTCTCCCTCTCCTTCTGCCTGCTGCTCCCCCTGCTTGTGCTATCTCTGACAAATGGATAAATAAAATCTTTTTTAAAAATAAAAATGAGAAGAAGACATGAACAGACATTTCTGCAAAGAAGACATCCAAATGGTCAACAGACAGACACATGAGAAAGTGCTCAACATCACTTGGCATCAGGGAAATAGAAATCAAAAGCACAATGATACCACCTCACACCAGTCGGAATGGCTAAAATTAACAAGTCCGGAAACGACAGATGTTGACGAGGATGCAGAGAAAGGGGAACCCTCCTACACTTGGTGGGAATGCAAGCCGGTGCAGCCACTCTGGAGAACAGTATGGAGGTTCCTCGAAAAGTTGAAAATAGAGCTACCTTATGACCAAACAATTGCACTACTGGGTGTTTAACACAAAGATACCAATGTAGTTATCTGAAGGGGCACCTATACCCCAATGTTTATGGCAGCAATGTCCACAATAGCCAAACTATGGAAAGAGCCCAATGTCCCTCAACAGATGAATGGATAAAGATGTGATATACTGACATACAGTGGAATATTATGCAGCCATTAAAAAAATGAAATCTTGCCATTTGCTACAATGTGGAGAGAACTAGAGGGTATTATGCTAAGTAAAACAAGTCAATCAGAGACTCTTAATTTCCGGAAACAAAATGAGGGTTGCTGGAGTGGACAGGGGTGGGAGGGATGGGGTGGCTGGGTGATGGACACTGGGGAGGGTTTGTGTTGTGGTGAGCACTATGTATTGTGTAAGACTGATGAATCACAGACCTGTACCCCTGAAACAAAAATACATTATATGTTAATACCAAAAATTTTTTTTAATAAAAAGATTAATCAAGAGACCATTTCCTATAAAAATATTAATAGGTAAATGCCAAACCGTAAGTGTCTTTCAGTTTACCATACTGTAGCTTAAGATAAATAACAAAGATAGACAAATCAGAAAGGAAACTGAAATATATACATTAGGCAGTAATTTCTAAAAGTAATTTCTATAAGTTCAGTACCTTGCACTTGTTCCAGTGGTGAAATCTTAGCAAAAGGATCTTGGCTCTGAAAGCGTTTTGCAGTTTTAGCCTGCTCCTCTTCTGTTCTTGCTATATCACTTTGCAAAGCAGACTCTTCAAGAACAGCATCTGACAAATGTTGACTTTCTATATGGTTCTTTTTCTTAGAGACAGAACTTTCCAGTACGAAACAGAATAATGATTAAATGTTAGTTACCTTGGGTAAATCAATAAAATATTAATCAGTTATGTAGTTAATATCACAGAAAGAAAAAAATGGATACAGTGGAAAGAAAAATTTCGAGGACCAGCCAGACACTACAACTGGCTCCACTGTAGGTGTCCTGGGGACTGCACACCGTCTTGGGTCCAGAGATACAGTCTACCAAAATCAAATATAGTATCATATTGCTATTCTGCCTCTCAAGTGATAAAATGAGGGTTTTTTTTCTTTCCTAAATAAGTATCTCTGAATCTATCATATATGGAGAAAAACAGCTTTCTAAAAACAAAGAAGACTTAAAGGACACTAGTATATATGCCAAAAAGCTGATTCTCTGAATTATGAAGTGCTTTAAAAGTTTTACTTTTAGGGGAGGAGTCAAGATGGCAGAGAAGTAGCAGGCTGAGACTACTTCAGGTAGCGGGAGATCAGCTAGATAGCTTATCTAAAGATTGCAAACACCTACAAATCCAACGGGAGATCGAAGAGAAGAAGAACAGC